AGGAACGCTAAGATATTTTCTGGCTAGTTTTGAGAGGATTGGAAAATGAACTTGGTTCTGTCGCCACCATAAGAGAGGATCTCTATCAGGAAAGGCTAGTGGTGTTCGTCTAAGGTCAAGGTAAGAATCCAATTCATCCGTAAATTCTTGCGACCTTTGAGCACTACCAAATATAAGGTTTTTAAACATATTATTAGAAGAAAGATTTTTTGAGCTAGGTGTAGTATTTTCATTTGATGTTGGTGATTGTATATTCATTAGTTGGTGAAGTTGATGTCTACATTCATTAATGGCATTATTACGAGTTTCTTCGTTTGCATAAGACATTTCTTTCAGCCGAGGGTCTAATAGTGTTGCAATAAGGCAAATTTGTGATGGGTGATCCCAATATTCAAAAAGTGAGTTATATATGATTTTTTGTATGTTTTTTACGATTAATTCAGGGTTATTTTCTGACTGATTTTCTTGAGTATTAACGGATATGTCGCTTTCGTTTTCATCATCTGATGACTCAGACTCCGAATCATAATTAGATGTTTCTTGGAAACCTAACATAATTAAAACACTTTGATTATCATTTGGCATGTTGTATTTTTTTGTTGCGGATAATTGTGAAACTTGGATGATTATGAAATCTAAAGCTTTAATTAGCTAAGATACAATAATTTCAGAATCGTCTGATTTCATGATCATTCGCAACAATTTTTTTTTTTTTTACTTAAATATGTTTCGTGACATTTTATAATTTTAACTACTGATAATTTAAAATTTTATACCTTCATTATTATAATCATATTCATCAATATCTATATTTTGTGAATAATGAACCTTCATTGCCTCCATTAATGGATGAATACACGCTATAGTGGGATATCGTCCAGCACTAAAATATTCAGTAGCACAGTTGAAAGGTTCTAATATTTCAATTAACTTTTCAACAAGATCCCATTCATTATCTTGCAGCATCAACCTGTTTAACTTCTGACTATCTTTTTGTGCATCTGGATTATTTTCAAGAGGCAATGTCGCTGAAAGCCGTCTGATTGCAGGACGCAGCTCAATTAACCTTTTCCATGATCGAAATTTGGAATTCCAACGGGTTGGTATATCTTTAATAATTCGCAATGTAGGTACAAACTTATTAATAGTCATTTTCTCATCAACTAATATTTCATTATCCTCCTCATCTTCGAAATTAACATTATTTTCAGATTCATCAGATGAAATTGGATTATTATAAGACATTTCTTTCTGCTTATTTTTATGCGTTTCAAGTTGCGCAGTATCTAATCTCTGACTTTGTTTAGGTGAATCAAAAAATTTAACCAAATTTTGTATACGGATAATTTGTCGACGCTTTGCCTTAAATGCGCGATTGATTGATAATTGTAAGGTATGGGCTGTGCATGGCAACCTTTCTACACCCTCCCAATTTCTTATTGCCTTTACCATGTTACTACCGTTATCAGTAACAATACAAAGAATTTTATTTTGTAAATTAAATTCTTGAACTTTGCTAATAAGAAATTCTTTAATAACACAATAAGTATGGGGGTACGGCATTGACTCTAAACAAAGTAGGATTTCATTTAATTCGAACTTTTCGTTTAACCAATGAGCGGTTATTCCAATATATCCTGTTTTATTTCTTGCCGTCCAAAGGTCTGTTGTTAGAGAAATTGTTTCACTGCTTCGTGCTAAAAGATTGTTGATTTGGCTTTTTGCAGTTGTGTTTGCAATAGATATTTCTTTTTTTAATGTCTTATAAGAAGGCCGACGAAAGGCAGGATCTATTTGCAACATAAATCTACGAAATCCTTCTCCGCTAATAACTTCAAATGGTCGATTATCAATCACAAGCCATTCCGCAACAGCGCGACAAATATTAAGTTTTTTAGTTCCTTTGTGAGGGACAACACGTTGTAGCATAGTAGTGATAGTTTGCTGGGAACCTTTTGTATTATTCTAAAATTTATTGACTAAATTCATTAAATTTATCTTTTTTTTTTTTAGATAAAATCATGAAGTTGATTATTTACCTGGTTTTTTTGAAATTCTGCTATATCATGTTCGTCTGCAAGATGCGAATTCATGTTGGTCGTTGACCATCCGGGAAGATATTTAAATTTTTTTCCACAATTCTTTTCCTTTCCATTTATTTTAATTTTTACATCACATACTGATTCTTCTCCTACTATTTTAAAATATTTCCAGCATGATGCAGATTTTTTATTTGTTTTACGACGGCGCTTATATTTTTTTGAATTGGCTTGGGAACCTTCAGTTTGAAGATTGTATTCTAATAATTCATCAACTTCTAGCGAAGTATCAGTTTGCGAAGTTTCTTCAGATTCAATACCCGACATGGTTATATAAATTATCGAGTAAAAAAAAACACAAAGGAATTTTAAGCTACAATTTATAGCTATTTGTAATCTGATTTATTAATTATATTGTCTCTTTATAATATATTGTTCTTTAAATTAAATACTAAAAAAAATTATTATGCTTAAGAAAGCCAAGTCTATAGCTTTATTCAGAGTATCAATATCGTCGTATTGAACGCCGATTTAGATGCTGTACATACGTATGTACTGATATACTTTTTTTTTCTCAAAAGATAATACATCATGCACTAATGTGAAACTATTATTTAATCATTAGCTTATTTGGATAGAGACCATCTACCAGACAATGATATCGGCACTTAAAGATTGTATTCTTTGTTTTGGATCAATTCCGTCTGGTGTAAGTATTTGACAACAAATTGAATCTACAATTTACTACGTGATTCTTATTCAAATGCAATTAATAAAATTTATATTGCAACAATTTAGTTATTGTTTAACAATAAGTTCTGATTTGTATTGCAGTTTAAATTTGTTTATCTAAATTATTTGTTTTAAATTATAGGCTTATGATTATTAAGTAAAAGCTTTCAAAATCAGTCTTTTACGGATGTGTATAATTAGGTATACTTTGTTTGAAAGATACGAATAGGAGTTGAGATTATATAATTATGGGTGTTTAAGTACTATATTTGTATGAAATAACGCCCATGAACGTTATTTTTAGACGAGCTTGAGGCGAGCTAATAATTAATTTAACCAGAGTATAAATCAAATTCTTATTAAAAGTCTTCAGTTAAAATTGATTATTAGCTTAGTTCAAACTCAGTTCTGAAATCATGCCCATGGGCGTTATTTTGCGCAAATACAGTACTGGAAATTATGATGCAGAGCCATCATTAAAAGTGATTTATGCAAGGTTATTTAGAACTATTAATGCATGATTTCTATAAGGTTACTAAATTTTTCTGAAGATCACCTAACAGACAATGGTATCGGGATTTAAAGGTTGTTTTCTTTGTTCTGAATCAGTTCCTCATGGTCTTAGTATTTGACAGCAAAATGAATCTACAACTAATTACATTAATGATATGATTTCATTCAATTGCTATTAATGCAATTCATATTACGGTAATTTAGTAATTTTTTAACAATAAGTTCTAGTTTGGTTTGGTTTTAAACTTATTTATCTAAGTTATTTGTTTTTAAATTACATGTTTACAATGATTAAGTTAAACGTCTTTTAAATAGTTCTTTTGTAGACTTGCATACTTCGTATAAAAGATTATGAATTAGAATTGAGATCACATAATTATGGAGCTTAAGTATTGTAGTTGTGTAAAATAATGCCCATGGGCATTATTTCGGGACATGATCTTGAGGTGAGCTAATAATTAATTTAACCCGAGTATAATCATAATTCTTTGTTATTAAAAGTCTTCGGTTAAATTAATTATTAGGCCATCTCAAACTCGGGTCCTGAAATAACGCCCATGGGCGTTATTTCGTGCAAATACGGTACTGGAATTTATTATGATGGGTTATCGTCAAAAGTCATCCTTTTCAACTCCAATTCCATTTCGATAACAATATCCAACATTATACATGACCCATCGCTGCAGATTTTTGGTAATAACCCAATTCCATGCTGATAACAACATTCAACACTTGCATTAGTGATTTATGCAAGGTTATTTAGGACCATTAATGCATGATTTCTATAAGGTTACTAAATTTTTCTGAAGATCACCTAACAGACAATGGTATCGGGATTTAAAGGTTGTTTTCTTTGTTCTGAATCAGTTCCTCATGGTCTTAGTATTTGACAGCAAAATGAATCTACAACTAATTACATTAATGATATGATTTCATTCAATTGCTATTAATGCAATTCATATTACGGTAATTTAGTAATTTTTTAACAATAAGTTCTAGTTTGGTTTGGTTTTAAACTTATTTATCTAAGTTATTTGTTTTTAAATTACATGTTTACAATGATTAAGTTAAACGTCTTTTAAATAGTTCTTTTGTAGACTTGCATACTTCGTATAAAAGATTATGAATTAGAATTGAGATCACATAATTATGGAGCTTAAGTATTGTAGTTGTGTAAAATAATGCCCATGGGCATTATTTCGGGACATGATCTTGAGGTGAGCTAATAATTAATTTAACCCGAGTATAATCATAATTCTTTGTTATTAAAAGTCTTCGGTTAAATTAATTATTAGGCCATCTCAAACTCGGGTCCTGAAATAACGCCCATGGGCGTTATTTCGTGCAAATACGGTACTGGAATTTATTATGATGGGTTATCGTCAAAAGTCATCCTTTTCAACTCCAATTCCATTTCGATAACAATATCCAACATTATACATGACCCATCGCTGCAGATTTTTGGTAATAACCCAATTCCATGCTGATAACAACATTCAACACTTGCATTAGTGATTTATGCAAGGTTATTTAGGACCATTAATGCATGATTTATATAAGGTTACTAAATTTTCCTGACGATCACCTACCAGACAATAACATCAGCATTTAAAGGTTGCGTTCTTTGTTCTGGATCAGTTCCGCATGGTCTTAGTAATTCAGTAATTATGTAGTTCAAGTACTGGAATTTATTATGCAGAGTCGCCACTAAAAGCAGTTTATGCAAGGTTACTAATTTCCCCCAAAGAAGTGATTTATGCAAGGTTGCTATTTCCCCAAAGAAGTGATTTACAGTTATTTGGGCCATTAATGCAATTACTAATTCTTCGATAAAAGAGGCGATGTGCATATATGCGCATATATGCACTTTTTTTTCTTTCAAGGCCGATTGATTAT